GACCGAATGCGCTCGACACCGCAGAGGCATACAAACGTGGGAAATGCCAGAGCTAGACCTATCCTACCTAAAATAAGGACAGCCGTGTAATTCGGTGCCTATGTGGCTGGTAAGGGTAGCCGCATCAAGTGCGAGATCGCTGTATGGGAAGGAAGGGGCAGTCCTACAACTAGACGTGGCCGGTAGGGCTACCAAGCCATGTGCTGGGAGAGTAGCGGGGCGCAAGTTGTTCTTAGAGAAGAGCAACTTCTTCTACAACCATAGAAGGAGTTAGCCCAATAGGATATGAAGTTGGAGTTTCACCCTGGAAATTGAGGGATCAAGTGAAGAGTCCTACTATGGGCTAACTCCTTTTTAACAGGGGCATTTGGGCGCGGTCACTCTCGACCACGCCATCGTTGAGATTGCACGGCTGAGATCAGCTGCGCAAATCCGCAAGGATAACACGCATAAATGGAGGAATGGCCTGAAATGTTTTTCGATCCCACGAGGGACTGAACTTGGGTCTGTATTTCAACAGTTCGTGGGTGCCCCATGAGGGCGCAGGAAACTGAAACGTGCCATTGGCTTTAGCCAACGGTATTTAAAAATAAATAAAAAATAAATGGAGAAATGAAAGTGAGGCGATAGGTGGTGCAGTCGCGAATTTACCTGCCACACAAAAGAGGAACAAGCCGGCAGCCTGGCAGGTCCCCTTCAGGTAAGTGGCTTTTTTTTTTTTTTTTTTTTTCCCTCCTATAGATTTGTTTTCGATTTTCTAGTTTTTCGTTTTCTTTTTCTTTAGAGACCTAGTGCGCCCGTTCGTTGAAAACGGGCAGCAGCCACCTCCGGTAAGTCTCCTTTTCGCTTTTTTTCTTTTCTTTTCTTTTTTTCCTAGATTCTTTTTTTTGTTGTCTTCCTTAGATGATGGTTCTTCTTAGAGACCCCCTTCCGCACCCATTCGCTCAAAACAAGCTGTGAACAGGCGCCTGGATCTGGCGCTTTCCATGCCCCAGGTGTAGGCGCGTGGGGTAGGGAAAAAGAAGACCCTGTCGAGCTTGACTCTTCGTAAGTTGCCACATTACATGGTTGCACTCGCCTCAAGGGATCGTGGAACGCAAATGAAAAACAGAAACAAACACTCCCCTCCCCCCCCCCGGGCAGGTTTTGTGTTGGCTCCATTTTTCTGGTCCCAGTTTCCAGACATGCCTCAAACAGAAACTGGGTAGTGGTCCCAGTATCATGGTACTCCGGGTTGAATTGTGGGTTTCCCGGCCCCAACACACTTTCGGAATCGATACGTTCTAAGGGGCTCATTCCACACCACTTTAAAACTCTTCAGATTCAAGGATGCACGCTGTAGGGGAAGAAATGTTGATTAGTATTCTCCGACTCCCGGTTTCGTTCGCCACGCCCTTGAAGCGACCCGGCCGCAGCTGTGAGGCAAGTTTACGCCCTTGAAACTCAAGGAGCCTCTCAAAGCTGCCTTGAGTTCAAGGGCAGTTTCGCACCTGAGTTTCAAGCTCCAGCACTTGTGTCGGAAAGTGTGGAAACTTTTAGGCACAGCATTAGGGTGCTGTGGGACGTTGCTCCCTTGAAACTCAAGGGTTTTCCAAGTGGTGTGGAACAAGCCCCTAAGGGATGTACCAGTCTCAGGTCAACTCACAGAATTTTGAGAGGAAATGGACAGAGAGGCGTGCTGTCATAGGTGGGTATTGCAACAATTTCCATCAGTTCCCACAAAGCCATGGTTCTGACATCTCGTGGTTTTCTTGTTTTCTTGGGTGATAATTACACTGGCTGGAGCAGTGAAGAGAAACCTCATTAAACCACCAGTACTTCGCCCAGCTGTTGATGCCGGGTCTGAAAACGCCCTGCGCGCCAAGTTTTGCCGAACCGCCAGCGTGACTTTTTTGTTGGCCAGCACTGCCAGCTTTTGTGGTCCGGTAGCCCTGAAGCCCGAAAGACATGGCGCGCTAACGTGAAAGGCCCGCGGCTGATGTATGGGCCAAGTGCTGGTGGTTTAAAACCATTCTTTTTTTCCCAAATAGAACGCCTGATCGTTTATCACCACTGTATCTAGACTGAAAGTTTCACTGAATGTGGCTATAATTGCCGGGCACTCTATTTGGGTGAAGACGGAAGTGTGGCGAGGCCCACTGTGATGCCATCGACTGCAGAAAGCGACCACTTTTCCCCGGAGAGGGGTTTTATCTTTCATTTTGGTTTATTTAAAGCACCAGTACATTTCCCAACTATGTTTTTCAAAGAGATCGCCTTTTATGGAGCATGACGCATTTCCGGGCCCAGAGAAAAGAAAAGGCGATCTCTTTGAAAACATAGCTGGGAAATGTACTGGTGGTTTAACTTCGTCAAAAAGTGCTCTGCCAAAGTGTCAGACAAAAGCTGGTGCAAGTAGTCTGACCTCTTTTTTTTCCGCCGCTGTTGGGCAAGTAGTCTGACAGCTTTACCTCTTATTGTAACACAAGCTGCAAAAAAGAGAAAAAAAGAAAAGCTGGACATGTCCGTTGACACACTGCTGCTCATATTTGCCCTACAACTTTGCAGCACTCTTCAAAATTCAAAATTGTACCGTTTTAGCTTTGCACCTTCTTCAGCGGGGGGAGGTTGAAATTTCCTTTCTCCCCCCTCCCAACCCCCCACGCGCACCCCCTCTGGACGTGGCCACCTTCACCCCTGAAGAAGGTTAATGAAACATTCTGGGCTCGGCTCGGCCCCAGAGGATTGAGGTGGTTGAATCCCTTTGCCCCAGGAAATATCTTGAAGCTCGAGTCTAACCCCACTGCTGCTATGTTCCAGTTCCTTCTTAAACCGCTATATCCCCCCGACGCAAAAAACCTCCTCCTGCCGGTTCACGAGGGGTACTGGTAGCATAGAGTGGGAAACCGGGTGAATGGCAAAAATGGAATTCGCATCAAAAAGTTGGAAATGCGCCGAATCGGCACGGCGATTGTTTCACGGTCAAAATGATTTTATTTATTTGTTCTGATATTTTCCTTGAAAGATCACGACCTAATCTATTGACCCTCAAATTTTCAGAATTTTTAAAGAATTCTTCTGAGCACGAAAAATCACCAAAGTTGCTGCTTTCAAATGGCGCAGGATTGGACCCGCCTGAGACGAACGGACGGTCGCCGCCCCTCCGTAGAACCCGGCCCTAACTCACAGGGCCGCGGGTTTTCGGCTGTCAGGAGGAGTGGCAGTTTAAAAGCATGAAGCACCTGGTCACATTACCAACTCACCTACCTCAGTCGGTACACCAATGAACTGTTGAAACACGGACACGACTTCGAACGCAGATGCAACAAGATATGACTCTGCGTTGACCTGGGGTGGGTAAGGCCATCGCGCTTTCAAAAACAAAGAAAACGAAAAAAAAAAACAAAAAAAAATGAGTGGTCATGTAACCCACGCCCTCCCCCCCAAATGGGCCGGGCCCAATCCTTACCTGAAGGTTAGTTTCTGTTAACTCTGTGGAGCATTACTAGCAGCAAGATGCCTGTGTAATGAGACAAACAAAGTTACCACTTTTCGAGGTGGCAGCAGACTCCTGCACAGTCATACAATAGCCCAACGGAGAGTGCAAAGAGGGCGCATGCACACTAGGACTTTTGAACTAAGCTCTGAGCATGATTGCAGTCAGATGCATCCAGATCCAGCCATAATTGTGGTCAGGTACATTTAGAGCAGTTTCATAACTTGAGGAACGCTCAGAATGTTCGGATTGCCTCCAACACCAGCAAACACCTAGAAGAAGGAGAAATAAAATAATAGAAAATAAATAATAGTGGTGCCTGCTTGAGATGATGAATATGGTCAGGATGTTCTGATAGGTGATTAACGGAGGTTGAAGCCATGCATTACTTTGTTTCCTTTTTCTTCAGCTGTTAGCCAACTACAATAAATCACCACTGATCAGCTCGAACATGAAGTACCCAGAGAAAAAGGGGAAAATAATAACAATAAGAAGAAGAAGGAGAAAGAGAAGAAGAAGAAGACAAATGCTTGAAAACAGAGAAGTAGATATTGATCAACGTAGTTTAGGGCATCAGGCCCTGCCGCGCACGCACGGCCTCAAACCGGCACCCTCAGCCACAGGAACGAAGTCTTGTAACCACCACAACCTTTGGAGGTGTTATAAAAACTGGATCCATACCGGTCGTGATATCCAGCCCACCCCCAGGGCTGTACCACCCTTGAACTCACACCACACACACAACACCACACCACGGACACGGCAATCAAACGCACACTCCGCTCGGACAGCATGCAACCCACCACCGATACTTAACCCAGTCACTCCAAGGTGGGGCCACGTCCCGCGGGTTCCACGGGCGCCTTCATGTGCAAACATGAATGTCAAACCCGCGGCTCACTCCAAGGCGGGCCAACTTCCATGCTTTGGCAAATTCCCAAAGCATAGAATGGTCAAAAAGAGAGAGGGTGTCGAATGCAATCCTGAGCACAAATCCTTACATAAGCATGCTATGACTAGACTAGTAAAATTATACTTTGTCCTGTTTCATGGCAAAATAATGCACAAGGAACCATTTGTAACCTACTTCTCCTCTTCCAATTCCTTAGTGTTGCTGCCCCCACCTTATTACTACTACTGCTACTACTACTACTACTACTACTACTAGTAGTAGTAGTAGTAGTAGTACTACTACTACTCCTACTCCTGGTACTACTCCTACTCCTACTCCTGCAGTAACTACTACTCCATTCATGGTCCAGCGGCTAAAATCTTCCATGGAATAGAATTCCATTATTCCATAAGCATTTCTCTATGTACAGGGGGTCAAAATTTGCATGGGTATTGCGACGTTAACTGGCTCGATGGATTCTATATGTGTGTAACAGTGTAACTGAGATGGATACCGAAGGGAAGCCCATATCGAAACAAACAAAACAAAAGGGAGGGAAAGAAACAGAAAAGCTCCACGTTCTATTTGGGGGGCGATGGTCGTGAGCAGAAACTGCAACGTGGTGGAGTTTGCATTGGTCGAGGCCATTTGTTGAATGGACTGTATGTTGTCATGGGACACTGGACCTGGTTTCCAGCAGGGACACTCCCTACCAATAGATTGGCGCTTTTGTCTCCCCCCCCCCCCCCCCCACACCCACAAAAAAAAAAAAAAAAAAAAAGGCAAAGAAAAGGGCTTAATCCAAGCACCAGCTCGTATATCTGGGTTTCCAACGGACGTTAACAAAATTGTAGGAGTTGTTGTAATGCCTTTCAATTTTGAGCCGAGAGGTCTGTCCGCTTCGAGAAACATCTTTCTCCTCGCCCTCCTCCTCCTTCTGAGAACATGCATGCGAGAGGAAATAATGCGCGTTGACATTGCGGCCACATTGGCGCTGTTGATTTGCTGCAACTGCCACGTCGTCGTCATCAGTTCCTCTCAGCTGCTGCTGCATCTCATGATACTGCTGCAGCGGATGAAGACGAAGACGAGGACGAGGACGAGGAGGAGAACAAGGGTGACGATCCAGACCATTATATCGAGGGCGGACGTCCGCAGCATATTTGCAGAAACAACTGTCTCGCATCCTCCTGTACATCCGCATTGCTGCGATGGCATCTTCTTTAGGATCATGGCAAGATCCATTTTGGATAAGATATCCAAGATAATTATCGGTTAAGTGCCTAAGCTTTTGACTATATCCTGAAGTCTTCAGCAACAGAGGGTACGTGGCAGTATCCCTCAAAAGCTTGTCCGGGTAATTGATGAATAAGCAATCTAAATCGTGCTTCAAACCGTGACCAACAAGTAGCCGTCCTTTTTCTTTCCCTCCCGGCTCTTCGTTGGCCGCTTCCACCTCCTTCTCCTCCTCCTCCTCCTCCTCCTTTTCTGCCTCCCTTTCATCACGACTGTCATCATCGTCATCGTATGCAGTTGCTTGTCCCTCCCCTCTTTTGTAAACCTCACCCTTGGGCTTTGGATCCTTAACCCCACAGTCACAACCCTTAAGATCCCTATTATTGTTTTTCTTACCCTCGAGACCCTTCTCAAGACCTTTCCTGTCCTTATTTGAAACTGCCTCAAGAACCCCATTACAGTTCCTTGGAAGACCACCCTCAACGCCCCCGTTAAGACCTTGTTTCAGACCTCCCCTCAAGGGCCCATCACTGAGGACCCCCTTTTGGTCCCTCTTCGATACCCCGTCAAGATGTTTCTTCCGACATTCCATCCAGGCCCCCTCAAGAACCCCATTACACCTATCCGTACAATCACTCTCAACACCCCCATCAACGACCCCATCAACGTTCCCCTTAACACCTCCTTTGAGCCCCCCTTTCAAGGACCCATTTCTTTCCCCCTTCGGTACCCCCTCAACTCCTGCCTTCTGACTTCCCATCAAGACCACTTCAAGACTCCCCTGACAACCCCCCCTCACACTACCCTCAAGACCCCCACTAGCATACCCCTCAAGGCCCCCACTAGCATGCCCCTCACGACCACCATTAGCACACCCCTGAAGACCCCCATCAGTGCATCCCTCCACACCCCCGTGAGGACCATCCTTCAGCTGTTCACTGACTTCGTTAAGGCCTCCCTTCCGACTTTCCAGCGCAACCCCCTCATGAATCCCCTTACAACCCCCCTCAGGACCCCCGTCTGTACGCCCTTGACGACCCCCATTATTAGTACACCCCTCAAGAACGCCATTGTTACTAGTACACCCCTCAAGAACCCCATTAGTACACCCCTCAAGACCCCCCTTAGGACAATCTTTAAACTCTCCACTTACCCTACTGGTAGCTGCCAGGGGGGGGGGGTCTTCCTCAGTTCCACAAATACCAGAAGGAGCAGGAGAGCCCTTTGAAATGGCAATTGCAAACTTACCCTTACCATACAAGATGTCGAGTACCTCTTTCCTGACCTGAGTGAACGGCCTCCCTTTTGTCTCTAGATCGTCTGATCGAATCCCGGTGACTTCAAACCGGTAATCCACGACTGGTTCAACTGGCCGAACGTAAGTCTCAAGAAGAACGTCCTCATTTTCATCGACAATGCAGATTCTGGCCAGCAGGTCAGTAGTACCGTCAGGACCTCCTCCCACCATCTCGCAATCGAGAGCCACCGGACATGGCCGCGGGATGAGTTTGGGGGGGCAGGAGCTTCTGCCATCGCTGGCACCCTCGAGCTCAGCATGGGCACTGCTCTTTTTGTTTCCCTGCCTCTTCCTCCTCCTTCCTCCCCTCCTCACCTTGCTCATCGAGCTGGTCCCCTCCATGGCCCCCATTGCTCTCCTCTCCTCCATAGCCGTCGTCATCCTCTGGTGACCCTGCAAGTTGCCGTTGATGTCAACAATGCCTCCATCATCTTTTCTGCCTTCTTCGTCCGCCCGCACCGCCACCACCACCACCCTCTCGTCCTGGCTATGCTGGTTGTGATTGTCGTCGTAAATGCAGCCTTCCCTTCGACCACCATAGGCGCCGCAACGGCTACTGCCATCGTGACCGCACTTGCCATTGCAGATCAACATCGGCATCCTCGACCTCTTGTCTTCATTCAGTCGGCTGTTGACATCAACACCACTGTCTTTGTTGGTATGGTCCGCTGGCGATGGCTGGCAGTCGACGACACCAGCATGCCGATGGTGTTCTCGTCGATGACAGCTATAACCATTCCGTTGCTGCTGCTGGGATTTACCTTGATCCTCTCGTACTTCTTCTTCTTCTCCTTCTTCTTCTTCTTCTTCTCCTCCTTCTCCTCCTTGTTTCTTTCCTTTCCTTCTGCATCGTCGTCCTCCTCTTTGAGAAGAATTAAAGCCATTTCGTTGTCCTTGGAGCTGGGAACCGTTCTGACAAACTTCTTCTTCTTTTACTTCTCCTCCTCCATCTTCTCCTTCTTCTCTTTCTCCTCGTCGTCTTGCTCCCCCTCCTCCTCCTCCTCCTCCTCCTCCTCCTCCTCCTTGGGAAAGATCAGGAGATCGAATAGCGGTACTAGCAGTCGGAATAGCAATAGCTGCAGCAGGGGTTCTACAAAAAGGACGAGGAGGAGAAATAGGACCAGAAGGAGGAGGAGCAGCAGCAGCAGGAGGGGAAGGGGGTGCTGAGGGAGAATGCATAACGTTTTGTAAGCATTGAGGCCGATGCGCGTCCCTTGCTTCCCGGGAGGGGTAAAAGAACAGGCACAACGGACAGCCACATTCGGCGAAATCTTTTCCACATTTCTCTTTTGCCAAGCGGCCCAGCAGATGCTCTCTCAACGAATCCAGAAAAGGAAATTGTCTGCCGCACGACCCGCACGTGGGATCGTGCTTCGAGTGCGCAGCTTTCTTCAGATGGCGCTTGATAGACACCTCATCTGGAAAATGACGGAGACAGTAAGAGCAGTTGTATCGGACGGGGGGCCATGATGATGACGACACATCACATGCTCTCAAGGGAGGAGGAGGGGGGGGAGGAGGAGAAGGAGGAGGAGGAGAAAGAAGATGACCACGAGGAGGAATGCGACCGCCGCCGGAGTTTCCCCGCCCTCGTTTCGTTGGGATCGCCATCCCCATTTCTATCTTCTTCTCTTTATCGCCAATTGTTTTGGTGGGACGTGCACCGTCGGGATCGCCATCGTGACTGCAAACGATCTTACCCGAAGAAGACGGGTAAACCATGACGATAATTTTATGTAATATCTAATCAATTAATTGATCAATTTGATTAAAGACAATAATCGTAATCATTGATTGATTTTTGAGTGAGTGAGTGAGTGAGTGAGTGAGTGAGTGAGTGAGTGAGTGAGTGAGTGAGTGAGTGAGCGAGCGAGTGAAAGAGTGAGAGAGTAAGTGATTTATTGATGTTCATTCCGAGGGCGGTGATGGGGAGGCGGCAGTACCGTAACTAAGGGGAGCAAGAGAGAGAGAGAGAGAGAGAGAGAGAGAGAGAGAGAGAGAGAGAGAGAGAGAGAGAGAGAGAGAGAGAGAGACCCCTCTACCCTTCCCACCCTCCAACCTGCAGAGTCTCGTCCTGGAATTAAATGCCAGTAAATAAATAAAGAAATAAATGAATGAACGATTGGCACGTGGCGCGGAGATCGAGTTCACATCCGTCAACATTATATCAACATCGAGCCTTCCTTCACTGGATACGGCCAAATAAGCATCCCGATCCCCATCTGCTTCGCGCCTGACAATGAAGGGAAGACAGGCAGGACAACCGCACAAAACAATAAGCGAGCAACCGAAAAAAACACAGGCAGAGGGGGGGGAAAACAAAAAGGCACAAAGCGTTTCAACAGCGGACATATTCGTATCGTCAAAACAAGAATTTATCTTCTGCCTTTTTTTTATATTATATAATATATTATATATTTATATATAGGGAAAGTTTTTGAAATGCCCCTGAAGTTTGCGTTTATTTGTGATTTGCCCCTCCTACGGCCGACTTACCCTGATTTGCCCCTCCGACAACAATTCAAGTTTCCAAAAAAAAACTGGTGTCAATTGGGCCTGAAATATGTTCAATATGCCCCTACCGGCACCAGTGCCAAATTTCCAGTATGCCCCTGCCGGGGAGCCTATGGGTACCAGTGTCAGATTTCCATGCTACGTCAAGCCAACTCCTACCGTCTATAATGGTATGTTCACGGCTGTACATTACCCTCCTACCTCCACATCTTTCTCACACACAGAGAGAGAGAGAGAGAGAGAGAGAGAGAGAGAGAGAGAGAGAGAGAGAGAGAGAGAGAGAGAGAGGGCAGCAGTACGAAGGAGCTGAAGGGGGAAGAGGAGGGGGAGG